ATAAAGTATATTACATTAGCTTTAATTTAAGATATATATAAAAGTGTCAGACTTTCCGGAACACTTTCAAAATTTAAGTTGAAAAAGTCAATTTTTTGTGAAAAAGTTGTCATTTTGAATCTCCCCCTGTAGGCTGGTAAAAAGTCAGATTTATAAAAAATATACCAAATAATTGGCAAAAACATCATGTATCTACAAAAAAAAAGAATTATATTGATCCATACATCTGTCAAAAAGTTATAGCATTATAAAGTTAAAAATATAAAAAAGAATTTTTTTACAAAAATCGTATTTTTTTTATTAAGTTTAATGTCTGTTTTCACCATGAAGATAAAATAAAGTCCGAAATTTTTTTTTACCATTATAAAGTATATTACATTAGCTTTAATTTAAGATATATATAAAAGTGTCAGACCTTCCGGAACACTTTCAAAAGTTACGTTGAAAAAGTTCTACTTTCTATATGCATTTTTATGTTTTGAATCCCCCCTGTATTTAGGGAAATGGTCCGATTTAAAAAAACAGTATGTCGAATGAAAGATCTATATAAATACTACTTCTCATAAAAAAATTGTAATGATTCATACATTTTTCAAAAAGTTATAGCATAATAAAGTTAAAAATGGAAAATACAAAATCGAAAATTTTCACACAAAAATAGCATTCGGTAGCCATTTTCACCATGAAGATAAAATAAAGTCCGAAATTTTTTTTTACCATAATAAAGTTTATTACATTAGCATTAATTTAAGATATATATAAAAGTTTCAGACCTTCCGGAACACTTTCAAAAGTTAAGTTGAAAAAGTTCTACTTTCTATATGCATTTTTATGTTTTGAATCCCCCCTGTATTTAGGGAAATGGTCCGATTTAAAAAAACAGTATGTCGAATGAAAGATCTATATAAATACTACTTCTCATAAAAAAATTGTAATGATTCATACATTTTTCAAAAAGTTATAGCATAATAAAGTTAAAAATGGAAAATACAAAATCGAAAATTTTCACACAAAAATAGCATTCGGTAGCCATTTTCACCATGAAGATAAGATAAAGTCCGAAATTTTTTTTTTCATGAAAAAGAATATTACATTAGCTTTAATTTGAGATATATTTAAAAGTGTCAGACCTTCCGGAACATTTTCAAAATTTAAGTTAAAAAAATTAATTTTTTGTGAAAAAGTTGTAATTTTAAATCCCCCCTTGTGGGCAGGTTAAGGGTTAAATTTATGAAAAAAATATACCAAATGAAAGGTAATGATATTATGCATCTATATAAAAAAGAATTATATTGATATGTTTATTTTTGAAAAAGTTATGGCACTTTTAAGTAAAAAAAATTGAAAAAATTTCGAAAATTAGCGATTTTTAAATTTGTAATTTTTTTGGAGGTTTCCCCCATTTACGGGGAACGAGGGAATTTTTTTCAATTTTTAAGGGTAATGTCTTCGACTAGATACGATTTGTGATCTTTTGACGTATCATTGAAAGAAATCGGTTCGGTGAGAGCAAAAGTGGTAACAGACACAAAAAAATAAAAAAAAACACATCTTAGTAAAACCAATACCTTCTCAGCTTCGCACCGAAGCTAAAAAGGTCTCTGGTTGTCAACTTTTTTAACAAGTTAAACATTTTTTTTTTATTTTATTAAAAGTAAAGGTTAAAGATGGTAGAAAAAATTTCAAAATAAAATTGACTAATTAATGATATAAATATAGTTTAAAAAAAAACTAAAAAAACACGCTTTTAAAGATCATCGAACTAAAATGTTAAAAATAATTTTTAAAATAAAAATAAACGAAAAATACTAGTATTATTGTTTTAAGTTAATTTTAAAAATTAGTTTTAACTTTTTAGTTCGATGTGCTTTAAAAGCGTGTTTTTTTAGTTTTTTCTAAAACTATATTTATTAACACGCTTATATTAGTTTCACCTGTATGTATGTATGTATGTATGTATGTATGTAACTCTCCAAACGCTACGCGTTATCGCATATTCCGTCGTCTAGACTAGACTGTCATAACGCATTCACCCCTCCCCACGCCTCGCTCACCAAACGACGGCACACTATTCCTATAAAAATTTATTTTTAGTTATCGTACCCGTACACGCGTGCTTGTCATCAATATTATATATATGTAAACAAATTTTTATTTTGACTGACCAATAACGTCTAATGCGCCTTACGTATATATATTTATATATTACTACCACCGTTTATACCTCAGGTATAACGTTAGTCCGACCCGCCCACCCAGAAAATACGGTTATACCTAGTGCATGATACGTTTACGTACTTAAGTCGCTTTACTTGTGTATATATATATATTCTAATTACTATTAAAATTTATTTATTAACACGCTTTATTTTAATTAAGAGATATAAAGTATTCATTCNTTAGAAAGTAAATAAGTTGTTTTCCAAGCAGAGATAATAGTAATACTACTAAGGACCTAGAAACTACTAGTATTCAAGAAAAGGAACATAACTATTTTATGTGATAGCCAAGCTGCTCTGGAGACACTTAATAACAACCAGGTGAATTCAAGGCTGAATTAAGGGAAACTTTAGTATCACTATCAAAGTTAAATAAAGCTACACTAGCATTGGTACCAGGGCATAGCGATTTGTCTTGTAACAAAAGAACACATTTTATAGCGAGAAAGCTGCAGAAAACACCTATGTTGGACTAATATAGATACCAAACTAATATAATTCTCTAAGAGGTGTGAATATTGGATCTACAGGTCTGAGTGTATGGGCAGTTATTACACACTTTAATACATTTATTATAAAGACTTTTGGAAAATCTGTTTACTTTGTAATATAAGCACAAATGACATACAAAATATTTGTCATTAATACAGATTACTAATTTTTCTAAAATGTATTTATGTTATTAAATTATATAGTCCAAATATCCAAAATAGTTAATTTTCCAGGAGACATTATACATAATAACAATGAAAATAAATCTTCGATTTAAGGTAACTCAGCATACAATTATTTCCATGTAAGTGTTAGGCAATTGTGTATAAAATACTTTAATCAATGATGTGCTTTTATCATAAAAAAATCAAATTAAGTTCCTCTAATTAAAATTTTAATTCAAACAATTAATGTTCTAATCAATTTTTCCGTAATTATTCTTTTTATCTAAAAAATAATAAATAAATTTACTTCTCTCCAATATTAGCATGTTACAAGCATGGTCATCTACTATAAGCGCTTTATTTGTATACAAACGCCAATTTAACCGTGATATCATTTCGTACACCAACAAGAGTAAATAATTGTAGTCACTTTTTACGCATTTGTTTTTGTATATTATTAATATTTTATACAATATCATTAATTTTAAATAATTGTTTTCTAGTTTAAACTAACTTTCTTACTCGAAATAAAATAATTTGCAGAGAAATGTTACATTTTTCACGAAATAATTTATGTTTAGCTTTTTTTTTATTTAACTATTCATTGGATGCATTAGACAATGGATTAGCACTAACTCCACCTATGGGATGGCTTGCTTGGCAAAGATTTAGATGCACAATTGATTGTGAAACATTTCCAGATGAATGTATTAGGTGAGATAGGGTTAGCTATTAACCCAATATAAAAACAAAAATATTAATAATTGAAAAAAAATATTAGCCATATAATTTTAAAAAAAATAAGAAGTTATTTATACAAATATATCTTAAGTTTTATTAATTAGTTTAAAAAATTTAAAAGCAAATTTTTTAAGTTAATATGAATTATTATTTTATTAACTGAACATCATAGCTATTAATAATTCTACTAATTATTTATTAATTTTAATAAATAACAGTGAAGAGTTATTCAAAAGAGCAGCAGATTTATTAGTTAGTGAAGGTTATGCTAATGTTGGATATGAATATGTTATCATTGATGATTGTTGGTTAGAAGCTAATCGTTCTGCCGAAGGAAAATTACAAGCTGATAAAAAAAGATTTCCAAATGGAATCAAAGCTTTGGCAGAATATGTAAGCTCAATTATTGAAATATATATTTTAAATTTACTTGAATAACATTTTGATTGGACATCAAATAACAAAGAACTTACCAACAGAGTTTACTGTATATTTATTAATATATTTATGATTTCATTATTTTTACATACTATGCTCGTAAAATTTGATAAAAATTATAAACTATCCAATGGGTGACAGAACTGGGACATAAAAAAGTCTACTCCAAATCAATAATTGCTTTATATGGTAATTATAATTATTTTATTCCCTCATGCAGATACATTCTAAAGGATTGAAGTTGGGAATTTATGAAGATGTGGGAACTAAAACTTGTGAGGGTTACCCTGGAATTGAAGGGCATGAAGAAATGGATGCTAATACATTTGCTGAATGGGATATTGATTATATAAAAATTGATGGATGTTTTATAGATGAGCGTAGAATGGATAAAGGTAAATTTAGACATAATTTGGTTGGCAATTAGGATACTGCTTCTCCATTAGCTGTACAAAAGTTAGTACATATGGTTCAGAGTCTTGATGAGGCCATAAAAGTAGATAAACCAAATAATACGTTGAATCAGAAATTAATTTAAGTTTTTTTTTTAATCAATTTGATTTAAAACAATAATAACAGGTTTTCCTCAATTTGGAAAATTTTTAAACAAAACCGGAAGACCAATTGTATATTCATGTTGTTGGCCATTTTATCAAGATTGGAAAGGAATTAATGTAAGTTATGTTTATTTTGGATAAAATCAAGTATAAAAATTCTTGTAAATATCTCTTTTAATGAGTTACAGGTAAATTATAAACTTGTGTCTGAGAATTGTAATTTATGGAGAACTAATGGAGATATTCAGGAATCATATTCATCATTAATGAATATTGTGGATATGATTGCTTTGAAACAAGACTCTTGGGTTTTAAATGCAGGTCCAGGACATTGGAATGATCCTGATATGGTATAATAAATATTTTACCTCAATCATTTCATTCATAAAATTGCTTATCTTTTTAGCTGTTAATTGGAAATTTTGCTTTGAGTTATGAGCAGAGCAAAACTCAGATGGCTCTATGGGCTATTTTAGCAGCTCCTCTAATGATGTCAAATAAATTATCCTCTGTACGTTTAGAATACAAAAGTATACTTCAAAACACAGATATTATAAAAGTAAATCAGGATAAGCTTGGAATACAAGGAAGAAGAATATACAAGGTTGTATTTTATAAAACTTAGTAAACATTTTTGGCGTCTGAAGCAATTTTAATAATCTAACATTTGTTTCAATTTTTCAACTGTTTGGAGGTGGTTCCATCACTATGGTTCTGCTAATTTATATAACTGATTTTTCAACAAACGTCTCTTTAGGATCAAGGAATTGAAGTGTGGGTTAGGCCAGTTGAACCAAAAAGTGAAAAATATTACTCTTATGCTATTGCATTTGTCAATCGTAGAACAGAAGGTACTCCATACTTGTATAGTACCTCATTAAGAGATCTTGGATTAATAAATCCTGAAGGTTATATCATAAAAGTAAAAAAATTCAATTATTTTTAATATTTTATTAATTAAGGAGTAATTAATATTATTATAATATTGATTTTTTTTTTTTTAGAATTTGTACTCAAATCATACAGTTTCTAAATTTTTAGAGCCCAATTCATTGATTAAAGTTTTAACGAATCCTACAGGTAACATATTATTGTTTAATAACATAGTGCTATTAAAGCTCAGATTATCATTAATAAATTTTAAATGGTGATGTTATTTGTAATATTAAATATTACAATTTTTATGTTATCAAAACAGTAATAAATTATTAAAATATGTTTTGAATTTTAGATTAACATATTCTAAAATATAAATATTTCATTTTTAATGTTTCATATTTCAATACTTAAAATTAATATTGAATATAATATGATATAAAAATATATTTTTATAAAACAATATATATTAAAGTATTAAAAAATGGCTAAAGTAATATTTCTTTTATTCCAAATTACTCACTGTATCATTTTTTCTATTAAATTTCTTTGATTAAAGTAAATAAAAGTTTTAAGTGTTTATTACTTATAAACACTTAAAATTTAGGTCATAACAATTTTGTTATTATAATTCAATTAATGATTAACATTTCTTTTTTNTTAAAAGTTAATTTATTATGAAAAAGTTGTCATTTTAAATCCCCCTAGTGAGCAAATAAAGGGTCAAATTTATAAAAAAAATATACAGAATGATAGGTAAATACTTCAGGTATCTACAAAAAATATATCGATTTTGTCATTTTTTATAAAGTTATAGCAGTTTAAAGTAAAAATATTTGAAAAAAATTTCGAAAATTAGTGATTTTTAAATTCGTAATTTTTTTGTAGTTTTTGCCAATTTACGAGGATTGCGAGAAATTTTTTCAATTTTTGAGGATGATTTCTTCGATTAGATATGATTCGTGATATTTTGATGTATCGTTGAAAGATAAATGGTTCGATGAGAGTTGAGAAAAAGTGATAACAGACACAAAAAAAAAAAAATTAATATTAAAATTATTACCT